GGCCCGTTCTTTTCCAGGTTGTACAAACATCATTCACTCTCGCACAAAATTAGAGCATGTAGTGGCATAGACAGTTGAGTAGAACATTATTTCACCATAACACACCACCAGAAAATTTTGGCAGCACCGACCCACTACTTCGGGTTTGCACACATTGAAATGGGGTGATGTATGTTGGAGGCCGTGTGAAGTCAAGGTTGGATTACAACTCCGATCAAGCAAGCTGTTAAAAACAAATGCGTTTTAGAGAATTTTGGTTAAGGAAGGCACACCATCTCGTATGTCGGAATTACTGCAGTCAGTGCTAATTTATTTAAGGGCCAGTCTTATATTTCATTAAATACGGCATGGAACCGATGCATCTTCCTTAATCTTGCCAGCACCAATGTAAATAGAGCCAAATTGTTCAAATGGACACCTTACATTCTCAATCAATTTGGCATGACACCGATGAATTGAGCTTATTGCAGTCAGCACTATCGTAAACAGAGTTTAATTAGTTAAGTGCTTACCCTAAATTCGCCTTTAATTTGGCATATTCTCGATGAAATCTACGCAGTCTATCTACCATCGCCGAAAACAATTCTAACTTATTTAATAGCCTATCTTCGATTTGCATTAAATTTTACAGGCGCTCCATGGATTAAGAATGACCTAATCAGCATTGCTGGGAACATAGATGAATTATTCAAAAGCGGATCTCAAAGTCGCTATCAAATCGTTCTGCAATCGTTGGCTTATGTACCAAGGTAAATGAAATTACCAGCACACAGATGGTGGGTAATTTTACTGTAACTATTCATTACCTCCTCAATTCACATGCATACAAGATCCAGGGGAATTTTCCAATGTGACACCCAATACGCACCATCATTTGGAGAGTGCTCTTCATTTGCTGAGTGACTACATTACATAAATCAAGATACGGCTAAAAAGCAGTGATAGTGATAGTCCCAGCAGCACTATTACCAATCCAACGAGAATGTTCACACTGCAATGCAGGCGCGAAGTGCTTAAATGATGATGTGGCATTATAAAAACCTGATGATAAGAGCCAACTAAGTACCTCGCAACATGCACAAGTACACTCTTCCGACGTACTACTTATAGTGATGCAACAGAGGAGAGAGAATGCCGGATTTTGGTGCAACAGGAAGCCAAATTTATGCTTTGAGAATCTACACATCGAAAAATTGATAAGCTTGACTTGTCTGAAATAACTTAAACGCCATCTTGCACCGAGGAAACACTCAATACATAGAGTGTTTAAGTTTCTATGGATGACACAAAACGTGCCTATAAGACAAACAAACCAAACGCACCCACTGCTCATTAACGGCCCGTTCTTTTCCAGGTTGTACAAACATCATTCACTCTCGCACAAAATTAGAGCATGTAGTGGCATAGACAGTTGAGTAGAACATTATTTCACCATAACACACCACCAGAAAATTTTGGCAGCACCGACCCACTACTTCGGGTTTGCACACATTGAAATGGGGTGATGTATGTTGGAGGCCGTGTGAAGTCAAGGTTGGATTACAACTCCGATCAAGCAAGCTGTTAAAAACAAATGCGTTTTAGAGAATTTTGGTTAAGGAAGGCACACCATCTCGTATGTCGGAATTACTGCAGTCAGTGCTAATTTATTTAAGGGCCAGTCTTATATTTCATTAAATACGGCATGGAACCGATGCATCTTCCTTAATCTTGCCAGCACCAATGTAAATAGAGCCAAATTGTTCAAATGGACACCTTACATTCTCAATCAATTTGGCATGACACCGATGAATTGAGCTTATTGCAGTCAGCACTATCGTAAACAGAGTTTAATTAGTTAAGTGCTTACCCTAAATTCGCCTTTAATTTGGCATATTCTCGATGAAATCTACGCAGTCTATCTACCATCGCCGAAAACAATTCTAACTTATTTAATAGCCTATCTTCGATTTGCATTAAATTTTACAGGCGCTCCATGGATTAAGAATGACCTAATCAGCATTGCTGGGAACATAGATGAATTATTCAAAAGCGGATCTCAAAGTCGCTATCAAATCGTTCTGCAATCGTTGGCTTATGTACCAAGGTAAATGAAATTACCAGCACACAGATGGTGGGTAATTTTACTGTAACTATTCATTACCTCCTCAATTCACATGCATACAAGATCCAGGGGAATTTTCCAATGTGACACCCAATACGCACCATCATTTGGAGAGTGCTCTTCATTTGCTGAGTGACTACATTACATAAATCAAGATACGGCTAAAAAGCAGTGATAGTGATAGTCCCAGCAGCACTATTACCAATCCAACGAGAATGTTCACACTGCAATGCAGGCGCGAAGTGCTTAAATGATGATGTGGCATTATAAAAACCTGATGATAAGAGCCAACTAAGTACCTCGCAACATGCACAAGTACACTCTTCCGACGTACTACTTATAGTGATGCAACAGAGGAGAGAGAATGCCGGATTTTGGTGCAACAGGAAGCCAAATTTATGCTTTGAGAATCTACACATCGAAAAATTGATAAGCTTGACTTGTCTGAAATAACTTAAACGCCATCTTGCACCGAGGAAACACTCAATACATAGAGTGTTTAAGTTTCTATGGATGACACAAAACGTGCCTATAAGACAAACAAACCAAACGCACCCACTGCTCATTAACAGCCCAATTTCCAGGGAATGTCAATCTTCTCGAGAAGGAGGTTGTGCAATTGCTGCACGACGATGTCGAGACTGTAGACACGCTACTTGTATATGCGGTCCCAGGCACGGCAAACCCAGTGCCTATGGGGCTCATCGTTGGAGTTTCAGTCCTTCACATTACCACTTTGAGAATGACTGTTACGGTTGAAGAGTCCTAGTTAGATAATTGCACTTATTTATACCTGGTACAAAGCTGGATAAACTAATTAAGCGAATACACAAATGCTACTAATCTAAGCAACAAAGCTGTCGTCAACTTTTGAAAGGGGAAGAGGAAGAGAGGAAATGAGTAAAAACTAACATGTAATAAGAGTTGGGGGCGCATATGTGATCGACTATGCCAAGGGCGATTGAGAGCACACGACTGTGGACGATGGAAGCAACGTTGGCGCGGTCCCCTAGGCTTGAGGATGGCCCACCACGACACTGCCCTTTCTGCCGGACCGAAAATTGAAGAGCGATGTATGAGTAAGAAAATCCCGAGGGTCCGAGTTTACTGATATAAAATAATGCAACCGTGTCTGAAACACGACGCAAACGGAGAAAACCGGTTCCATTTTTTCGTCATACACGCGTAATGAAGACCAGTAAGGAGTTCACTGCCTTTAATACTGCTAACATAATCTGTGAGGACTTCCAATGACTGTAGCTGGAATGTTACCCCTTAACACATATCCTACTCAGTATATTTTTAAGGGTCAATATTCACCCTAGCAAATAATTACCACTTCTGCAAGTTGTAAACATAACTGCATAGTGGCGAGTGCATTAACTATGATGACAGATAAAAAGCAAGTTATCTTCCTCATTTTTACACCCAAGTTATATTATCTGCAAAATTTTTCATGCAGTTATGCGCGGCGATAAGCAAACATGAACGAACTGCAGTGAGCAAGCAGCGAAAAACAACAGAGCATACGGAAACAAAATGATACTTGCACATATGGACCTAATAGATAAAGCATTGATTGGTAATGCTGTTATTTTGAAACCACTACGAGCTGGCTAGAATGTTTATGAATACTTGTCTAGGGGTGGATAAAGAATACAAGCAATGTGAAAAAAAGTAGATTACTCACAGAAGTCGATGCTGACTCAGCCTTTTCTTGAATAGTTGCGAGTGCATTCTTGGCGATTAACAGCAGAACACTCTTGGTAGAGAATGCCCTAGCCAGAGATCAAATGAGCATTAGGATACAGGTTATCGGGTGCATTCCGCCACCTCTTTCACTCTACGCAAATTACCTTTCCGCCTCTACAGATAAAAGGAATTGTCATCAACATGCCCCTTGTGTTACCTGTGGAAGCAACAAATGAAGTGATGCCGTATCAAACATTAGTATGTGATTGTCTAAATGTACTAATAGGGATGTCCATTACGCACTTCCTAACACTTAAAAGCATATCTAGGCATGAATATTATTTGACATAACATAACAGCAATTGCCCGTTATAGGTGGATATTCCAGATTCTTCTCTTTCCAAAGGTTATTCAAAAAGCAAACGATTCTCTTTTACAGCAAGCCCAAGTAACGAAGACTGCTGGTTGGGACAGTCTCCGTCAACACAAACAGCAAAGCTACCAGCAGCCTCTACCTCCAACAGAGGTAATTCAAATGAAATTAGTGCAAAGCTATGGCAACTGATCACATCCGGTTATTTCCGACGTTCAACACAGGCGCATTCGTCAAGTGAAGAAAACGACTTTCAATTCGTGGAGGCACTATATTCCCTATATGCACAATGTCAAGGTGAAAAAAAGCAAAAACCCTACCGGCTCCTCTTAGTCGCCTGCATCCTTCACGAAACGAGTGTGAAAAGAAGAACTTTGCTGCACACTACAGGTTCGAAAAACACCCACTGGTATTTTTTCTACTTGAAAGCAGCATCACCAATTAATTTGTGCTTAAATTTAATCGCCCATTCACAGATATCCCTGACAGCGTATAAATTATGTTCAATTGATTCCAAACCAATGGAACATGTCTAATTTTAAGAAATGTTTCAAGTCAGTAGAGATATGTTCCAAAAATCCTTTTTATGGTTATTTCCGATTGCAGCTTATTATTCCGTTAAAAACAATTTATTTTTA